ACTGTAATTTTGGACCACCTAGACTTGAAAGTGATCATCCTTTCTCTCCTTTTCTCTTGCTCCTTACTGATGAACTTCCATTGGCTCTTTCTGGGCTCAGCATCACACAGGCCAGTGGTGATGAACTAGAACTTGTTTTTAATTCTGAAACCATATGCAGCTTGATTGATCAAATAGGTACCTTGGGAGCTCTGTAGTCTATGAACATCTGTCTCATCTATAACACAAATTGGCTGCTTGATTTCTTAAAGATACATATATGTTTTCCAGAAGGCAAAGGTCAGATGTCTTCCAGCCTAGGAAAACTGCCAGGACTAAGTAAAATTCCGCTGATTGCTACACCAGCAGAGGCAGTGTTTAAGTTTTACTTTACTTGTCTCTGTTGCTTTAATTTGTGAGGGACCTTTGCCACAGAGCAAGGACCATTGTGCATGATTTCACTGCTTTTCACATCATTTGCATGTGGTATGTTTTAATAGCCCCTTCATGAATCCTATTAGTCACTTCTTTCCTATATGTAAGTAAAACTATGATTAACTCAAATGTATTGGCAAAGTAGGATGGAATGAGGTAATATCTTTTACTGTCTCTACTCTTGCAGTATAAACAAAACTGTCTGAGCCCATTTGGGCTGTTATAACAACACAGACTGGCTTATAAACAACAGAAATTTATTTCTCACAGTTCTGGAGGCTGGAGGTCGAGGATCAGGGTGCTAGCTTGATGGAGTTCTGCTGACTGTGTGTGTCCTCAACTGGTAGAGAGCAGAGAGCAGCAAGCTGCAAGGTCGCTCATGACTAGAAAGGACACTAATCCCATCATGGGAGTCCCACCCTCCTGACCTCAGCTAAACATAATCACCTCCCAAAGGCCTCACCTCCAGATACCATCACGCTGGGGATTTAGGCTTCACCATGTGAATTTTGGGCACAAACATTCAGTCCATTACAGAAACTGCATTCATTTTTCTGACTTTGGTTTAGTCATGTTTTGAATATTGTACGTTTTATTTTCCCAGGTGATTTCTGATATACCTCCAAGGTCCCCACTTTGAACATCTATGGTATTATGTAGTAAATTGATGGGAAATCGGGCTGAACTGTTAATGGCTCTCAGATGCTACCTAACTTGGAAGGTTTGGGGGGATTGTGTTAATCCCCACACCCATTTGTTTTCTTAGGATTTACCCCTATGTCTTTAAAAAAACAAAAAAACAATTAGCCAACTAATAAGAGTTTGGTCAACGTAGGTCTTAGAGTACTCTGCTATTTCTTACATCTGGTGTACACACCTCTTGTGTCACCATCATTCTAAGTACTTTTTGCCGTACGTTGTAACAAACTTTGTGTCTGCGTTCCGTGTATGTGGTAGCCCTTACATGGATTAGTTGTCGTGGGCTGCCTTCCAGAATTGGTTTTTTCAGTCAGATGTTTGGGGTTCAAAATATTTTTTCCCATAGAAATGATCATAATATGGCGGTTAGGCTAAAACAAAGTAGCTTGAAAAGGGGCACTAAAACCTTTCAAAATTCTGTCGTTGAGCGCAGTGGTCATGCTAAAGTTCTCATCAGGCTTTTTTTTTGGCCTGATGTACTCCTTTCCGCCGCCTCTCCCCCCAGCCCAGCATCATGGCTCTCTTTAAATGGGAAAATGCTACGCTGAGAGAGAAGTGCGATGGTGTTGGGAGCCGTCTCTTGGCTGCCCCCTTTTTCTGCTTTTTTAGTGGTGAGTGTCTGCCCACTGCAAAGACACGGCTAGGGTGGGCTGTGAATTCAGACAAGCCAGCTCTCTTTTTACACTCTAAGTTTATCCATTAAAGAAGTTGTGTATTTATTGGGGGAAGATAATAACAACTCTTGGTGCCACGTTAATTAACTTTCAGTGGGAAGAAGGGCTACTGAAGAGAAGTAAAGCGTTTGGCTGGGAGGCCACGGACCTGACTTGATTACAAAGCAGCCTTTCAAATAAATATTCTGCGAATCGGCTGTATCCGTTGCTGCCACATGCTCACGGACTATGCAGTCAGAAGGGGCTTGGGTTAGCCTGAGAACTTGATGTGTGGCAACGGAAGAGAGTAGGTGCCTGTTGCGCGAACACTGAATTAAAAAGGCCCTTAGCTATCATGAGGAAGGAGATGGGGGAGAGCGTTACAGATGGAGACCAGCACAGAAAAGATCGTCTGCACAGGCAGGGAATGCAGCGCTGGGCTGCTGTTGCCATCCCAGCAAGGATTTCTGACTTTGCACGCTGTGACTTTAACGTATACCATCAGATTTGAGGGTTGTTTGATCTCAGGGCGATGCAAGCACTGAAAATCTACTTCTGTCCGAATTGACAGTACTGGTGTGGACCCTTTTTAGGCTGTGGGATTAGATGGACAGGAGATGGAAGGGCAGCTCTGATAAAGAACTTCAGGGGGAATTAATCATGATCACAGTTAGTACCGTTTCCTCTAACTTCTCTGGTCTTTAGTGTAAGAGCTCCTCGGCGATGCTGAAAAGTTAAGATTTTTTTAGCTGAAAAAACAAGACTGGAAGCCCGGTTCTTTCTAAGGCCAGAGAGAATATGGACCCCCATAGCACTGCCAGCCTGTGTAATGAAACACCCAAATCCAAGCTGCTGCGCTGGGCTTCCTGTGTCGCCTGCTTCATGGAAACCAATTAGTAGAGCAAACTGGCACAGCAAACCCAAGTTGCACCCCCAGGAGGCCTTGGTTCGCTGAAGTGGGCAGCAAATTGATAGCTGGTAGCTCTACCAATAGGTACCAAAAAGAAGCTGAGATTCGTGTTTGTTTTCAACTCCTGTTTTTCCTGCTCTCTTATTTGCTTCTGTGTACTCTCAGACTCACTAAGCTACCCCTACTCGGCTACTCCCAAGTATCATTGGATAATTTACCCCAAATCCTACTTGTCCCTCAAGATGCTCTGAACTCGCTGGTTGGGTGGGACCCAACTCTTTTGGTCACCATGGTGACTGATACCCATTCCTCTCCTGGCAGCATCCATCACTTTTCCTGAGTCACACCATCTCCCAGGCCAGTGGTTTCCTCAGCTCTTAAATGAAAGGGTGAATTTAGATGATTTCTCTTGCTGCTTCTGGCTCTAAAAATCTCTTACGGAGCTAGTTCAGACTGAAGACAGCTGCCCTCTTGAGACTGACAGAGAATGATAGAGTGGGTGGCCCTGGAAGGGACCTCGGCCATCATCAAGGCCAGCGTAGATGAGGGCAGGTGAGTACCTGCTCAAAGCCACACGCCAGGTCAGTTATACGTGGGCAAAGAGAGCTTTGTCTTGACTTGGCTTTTCAGAGTTACTGATTAGCATGGTGCATGATTACTCCAAAATTAAAAGTCGTTGGGCATAAGTTTCTACCAGGCATCTCTACTACGAAATGATGCCTTGCTTGAACTTTTTTCTCGCCTACCAAGTACCCACTATCCTGTTTTAGTTAAACCTGGGAATAGAGTCCTTAAAGGGTAAATGCCTTGGCATTTTGTTTCTTTAAATAAATGACTGTGAATTGTACTTCAAAGCTTGGCCCCAAATGTGGTCAGAGGATCGCCAAGGTTCTTAGGAGTTCTGCGAGGTGTTCCTGGGTTTCTCCTCCTCACTGCAGGTAGGAACTGTTTAATATCTTGAAGAACGTTTGTGCATTAGGCGGCTCCAAGCTTCAGCACAGAATGCTTCCGACTCAGTGTGACTCCTCTGCCTTTTCCCAGGCAAAGAAAGTGTACCGAGGCTATGTTTCCAGTTGACTCTGTGTGATCTTGGTTCATTCACTTGTGGAGTAAGGTCTGTCTGCTTTGGTTGCTTTAAAAGACTACCTTTTGTCCATGGAATTGGTCTCACTTTACTGTATATATAGGGATCTTTGATCAAAGAGAAGCTTGCCTCTAACCTGCCGAAAAGATACGAACTCTGTTGCTTCGACGTCTTTACAGCTGTGCAATCAAAAGTAATTTGTTGAGCCTGTGATTGAGAAGGTAAATTGCTATTGGTTGAAGAGACAGCATGGGGCAGTAACACAACCTTTTCCCCCTTTTAAAAAAGGTTCCTGTTAAAATTACTTAATATCTCAAGCATATAGACAAATACAAAGAATGATATCACACATTCCCTCTACCCGGCTCTGTGAAGTCTGTTCGTTGTGGCACTTTCTACCCCCCTCACTAGCCCTCTTATTCTTCCTCTCTCTCTCACCCTCTACCAAAGCCTGTAATTTGTTTCGCTTACTGTCTTGGCCCCCACTACAATGTAAGGGCCCTGAGGGCAGACATTTCTGACTCCTTAGTTTCCTGTTATATCATCCCTATTAACCAGTGCCTGACACTGTTCTCTATATTTGCATATTGCTTTACATTAGTGGATTAAATTAATTGCTTCCGCGTATTGGTTCTCTTTATGAAGTAGAATGCAGTTCGGGGTTCCCTCTGCAACTGCCCACCGCACCCCACCAAATCCAATCTTCCTTCCTTACCTCACCATAGGTAACCTGTACCGTGAATTCGGCGTTTATCCGTTTTGCATATGCTTTTTATATCTTAGGACATATTTATGTGTACCAGTTAACCACTACGTAGAATTGTCTTCAGGTATTTGAGTTATTTATATATATAGTAATATAATCTTTCTGGTTTAATGTTGAACTACATGCAGGGCTCGGGGGACAAACCCAGTTAAGTCCTGGGACAACTAGTAAGCAGAACTCCTCAAACCCTCTTTAAGGAAGACTTGCCATGTGCCTTGAATAAATGCTGAAGCAACCACTGTGATTCACGTACCAGATAGCAATTAAGCTTTAACATCAAAGAATGAACCTGTCTCGATGTTCTCAATTAAAGTTTAAGAGCTAGATGCGCTTAATGTATCTGTGCCAGAAAACTGGCCATTCCTTTGCAGTTTTCTCCATGAAAAGAGGTCCTAATGGTCCAATCAAAAAGAATCTAATTAACCAAGTTTAAGTGGTCTACAATTCTCAGCAAAACTGTTTTCCTTCCTCCAGCTGAGACGAGAGAAGATTGACCTTGAAAATACTTTGGAACAAGAGCAAGAAGCACTAGTGAATCGTCTCTGGAAAAGGATGGATAAACTTGAAGCTGAAAAGCGGTTCGTTTAGTCTTGCTGTTCGGGGTTCTGTACGTACGTGTGTGTTGGAGGAGTGGGGTAGCTTGCTGGGTGTGACCGAGGAATGACAATGGGACATTTTAATTCCTTGACTGATGCACGTCGTTTTAATTTGACAAGTGGAAAAAAATGTTGATAGCCTGTCCTCCTGTTGGTCACTTCCTTTTACCTAATTGAACTGGCTTCCCCATTCATTTTCTGAAGTGCTTAGGATATGTGCTGGGTACTGTGAATTATCACACATCTCTAGAAGGTACTTCATTAGAAAGGCTGGGATTTTGATAGAAGAATGATCATCTGTGTGTTTTAAGACTTGCTATAAAGAAATACTGGTACATATTTAAGGTTAGGGTTCTTGGTGTTAAATGTATATACATGGATATGGAATACTCAGCACACATATTTCTTGAACCCCTGTGTGCAAGATCCGGTTGGGCCCTTAGATGTAAGTACTGTGTGCTTTGGGGTGGGTGGGGCGGAGCTTGAATAATGGCAGGAGGTTCTGTGGGTGGGATGTGTGTCTGGGTGTAGAAAGGGAGCTCCTTGAAAATATTCATTCATCTATTTCACCACGATCTTCTGTTTGCTAACCAGAGACATTTGCCATAAGTACTTGGTTTGGATAAACATCCATTAATTGAGTTCATCTCAAGATTTGCAACATAGAGCCATACCACAGGCTTAAGAAAACTGACAATCTGAGGTATATCTCTACGGAATTATGCAAGCAGTAGTTGAATCAGCTGTGTTTTGCCTTATTACAGTAGTGCTGATAAATGGAAGCTTGAAAAATTATTTCATATAATAGATGGAGGGACCATTACAATATTTAACCTACTCGTTTTCTCAACAAGGCCTGAAGGTAATTCACAGTTTGCACTTGGGTAAACTCAAAGGTAAAAAGGTGAAAACCAAACTAAACCAGAAACTTCCCAGCAGCTTATAAAAGGGGCAGAGAGGTCTGTTGCCACTCTGTCTTCCTTTTTAAAAAGCAGTGGGAGGTTTTATATATATAAGTACCAAATTATTGCATCGAACATTATGAAATTGTCACTTTGTAGAATATTCATGTTTTATGTGCTTCAAAATAATGATAATTGGTAGAGAAGGTGGCACCACCAGTTATTAACCCAGTACATTTTTTTTTTTTTTTTTAAACTCTTTTTACCTTTGCTGTGGCCAGAAGCAAAGGGCCTTCAGTCCAGTTTGCCATACCTTCCAGATTGGTTTTTCAGGAGGGGAGTTGAGAAGTCAGTCTCTTTACATGATGTCACTCTCCAAGGAGAGTCATAGTCTGTAAGGTTCAACTGAAAGCCTTGAGAGGAGATTCCTCCAGTGTCGCCGTTCCCTCCAACCCAAGCACGTGGACCATTTAGTCAGTGGATCATTCTGATTGCCCCGTGTATTCCGGCATGATAATCAGAAGCCAGTGTTACAGACTTTTTCTTCAGTAAGGCTTTATTACCAGTGGCCGTTTGAAAGGAGAAAAAGGAAGGTGGCTCCTTCAGCTCTGCCCTTTGACTTGATTGTCAGGTAAGGGCGACCAGAAGTTGATGGAAAATGGGCACAGGAGTCAAACAATTCAATGAATTTTGGCGATTAACATGGGCATGCTGTTAAACCCCCCGGCTAGAATTTGTTGTTTTTGTCTTTTATTTATTTTTCTGATTGCTGAGAACTTATTCATGTATTTTTTAAATAGACGATGGTGAGCATCAAATCAACGTTTTATGTTTTAAAGGCAAACTGTTTTTCATTGTTGGAATTTTCTTTTCAATGAAGAATCCTGCAGGAGAAATTAGACCAGCCGGTGTCCGCTCCCCCATCGCCTAGAGACATCTCCATGGAGATCGACTCTCCAGAAAACATGATGCGACACATCAGGTTTTTAAAGAATGAGGTGGAGAGGCTGAAGAAGCAACTGAGAGCTGCCCAGTTACAGCGTACGTAGCCTTGGTGTCACTGGTCATCTGTCCACAGAATTAATCCACTTACCAAGTATAGAGTTTTACCTATGTTTACTGTTGAATTTGTATAAATCAAATTCATATTGTGTTTCATTGCTAGTACATATTTATATGTCTGTCATCCTGGAATAGATTATTTTTTAAAAAATTACAGTAGGGCAGGGCAAATAGTTAAGAATACTTCTAGAAAATCACATAATTTCTGGATGGTCCAGAATCAGAGGTACTCTTTCTTTCTTTTTTTTTTTTTTTTTTTAATAAATTTTTATTGGCGTATAGTTGATTTACAGTGTTGTGTTAGTTTCTGTGGTACAGCAAAGTGAATCAGTTATTCATATACATATATCCACTCTTTTTTTTTGGATTCTTTTTCTGTATAAGGTGGTTACATAATACTGAGTAGAGTTCCCTGTGCTATACAGTAGGTCCCCATTAGTTATCTGTTTTATATCAGGTACCATTTCTAACCTTCTCCCTGGTGTTCACCTCTCGGATGGTGCTAACAGAAGCAATGCAGGAGACCTCAGTGTACTTTGGGGGCATTAGGCAGAGAATAGTATTTATCTTCTTTACTACTGAAATTTGGCCTCAGCTAACGATTGTTCATGGTGGTTGAGGAATAAATGCTTTTGAAATTTCTCCTTTTTATTTTTGGAAATCAAAGGAACTAATTTCTGGACACTTGATTATGTCACTCTGCATTCACTTGGGTTTCTTCTGTTTTTGTTCTTAGGCCGTTCAACTTATTTGAATAGATAATACAGTGAAAGGTATGCAGGGGCAAAATACGTCTCCCTTTCATCCCTGATCCCCAGCTGCCCAGTTCTCACAATTAACATATTTTTAATATATTCTTCAGGTGTGTGTGTATAGACTTTTTTTTTTTGCGGTACACGGGCCTCTCACTGTTGTGGCCTCTCCCATTGTGGCGCACAGGCTCCGAACGCGCAGGCTCAGGGACCATGGCTCACGGGCCCAGCCGCTCTGCGGCATGTGGGATCTTCCCGGACCGGGGCACGAACCCGTGTCCCCTGCATCGGCAGGCGGACTCTCAACCACTGCACCACCAGGGAAGCCCTGTATAGACTTCTTTTATACAAATAGTAGCACAATGAACATACCCTTTTGCATTTTTCTTTTCACTCACTATGTCTTACAGTTTTTTCCCTGCCAGTATATACGGAGCTGCCTTACTCCCCACTGCCCCCCTTTTTTTTTGAATCTTTTGGCCGCACCGTCCGGCACGTGGGATCCTAGTTCCCTGACCAGGAATTGAACCCGCGCCCTGTGCTTTGGAAGCACGGAGTCTTAACCACTGGACTGCCAGGGGAGTCCACTCCCCCTGTTAAAGGCTCTGTAGTATTTGAGTGTATGGATACACTGTAACTTATTTAACTCATCCCTTACCAACAGACCCCTTTGGGTGGTGATGCTACAACCATAGCGAACATCTGTGTACAAACGTTTGATACCTGTGCACGAACACCTTCAGGGTAAATTCCACGGCGTGGATTTGCTGAGTCAGATGAAATGTGCATTTAAAATTTCAGTGCTTTTTATCTTTATGTTTTCTTCTCCGAAGTTGATTTCAAGTTCTAGTGCAGTAGTGCATCTGGGATGGGTGCATCAAGGTTCTCCTGGGAGCCTTTAAGAAGTACACAGTGTGTTCAGTTTCCTGTTGCTGCTGTTAACAAATGAGCACAAACTTAGTGATTTAAAACAACACAAATTTATTATATCACGTTTTTTGGAGGCCTGCGTTCAAAGTAGGTCTCACTGGGCTAAAATCAAGGTGTCAGCAGGGCTGGTTCCCTGTAAAAGGCTCTAAGGGAGAATCCGTGTCCTTGCTTGTTCCAGCTTCTGGAGGTTGTCTGCATTCTCTGGCTCATGACTGCTTTGCATTGGTACCACTCCCACCTCTGCTTCTTGTCACATCTTTTCCCTCTGACCCTCCTGCCTTCCCTGTGTAAGGACTCTGATTGCATCGGGCCCAGCCAGATAATCCAGGATGAGTTCCCATCTCAAGGTCCTTAATTTAATCACACCTGCAAGTCTCTTTTGCCATGGAAGGCAACCTGGACACGGGCTCCAGGGATTAGGATGCAGACATCTTCGGGAGTATACTGTCCTGTCTAACCCCATCCAGGGTTCTGGGCTTTTACTCTAGGGGTGGATCCTGGTCCTCTGTATTTTTTTAAATAGAGGTGATTCTGGTATGTACCCCGGCTTGAGAACCATAATGGATGTGTATTCTGTGAAAACAAATCAAGGAGTTCTCAAATATTAGTTGCTTTAGGTTAGGATACTTTTTGAGTTTTTGCCGTGTTGGACAGACACAGGTCTCGTAGCACCTTTCTGAACTCTTTCCACTGCTGTCAGTTTATATTTTTCTTTCTTGTATATACTTGCCTTGTTGTTCCCCAGACAACATTTTTAGAAGAAATTTGGGAAGAATATCTTATTTCCTCTACTTCCTTCCTACTGTACTGTTTGGTCTCAGGAGAGACTGCGGATGTCAACAGAGGCTTCTGCAAAGTGCTGTTTGGATTCTGTGAGGACAGGGAAAGCCGTGGCACTTAGCTGCACACAGTAGCTTTGGGTTGGGTGTAGAGTATGAGTTAATGGCTTTCCTCATCCACCTGCCTCTGCCTCCTTCGGTTGGATCACCTTGTGCACTTTGAAAGCTCCTGGGGCACTTGGTCCCTCTCCCCCAAGTCCAGCTGTGTCTGAACTTGAATCGCTCTCCCAGTAGCTCTCGACTGACATTAGAGTCCCCTGGGGAGTTTTTGGTAGACAGTGGAGAGGCTTCATCCTCGGGGATTCTGATTTAAGTGGTTCGGATGGAGTCTGGGCACCCCATCCAATATGGCTAGTATTTTCTAGCCATAAACCTGAAAGGGAATTTAAAAGGTACAGGCCACCTTGGGATCAGGTAGGACTCGTCTCTTGGGAGACTGTCTGTAAGTCACCCTCAGTTGACACTATCTTTGACTAACTGCTGTGAGATGGCTGAAGATGGGGGCAACATAACCTCTGGACCCTGAGTCCTAGGGAGCTCTCTGTGGGAGAAAGAGGAAGACTCCTGAGAGTAAATCTATGGTCCTTTGAAGTCGGTAGCCAGCAGAGGGCACCCAAGGAATGCTACGGCGTCAGCCATCTGTGCCTGGGTCTCTCACTCCCAGAGGCTGTGGGCCTGGTGCCTTCTCGGTGCCTCCAGCTTCTGGGTTAATTGCCAGACTGCCAGGAGGTCTTTTCAGCCATCACCCCTGGTGACTGATGTTCTTGTCGGTAGCTTATTGTTGAAGGATCCCCCTGCTGGTTTCCCCAGATGCTAGAGGATTGCCATTTTCTTTGAAAGACAGTGTTTCCTCTTAAGTAATTATTCTCAAAGCCTCATGAATCCTCAGTTCTGCGAAGCGTTCCTATTTATGGAAAAGAAAGGCAGCCTCCTCCGACAACTGTCCCTCTCGTCTAGAAACAGTAGATACTCCAAGAGGCCAATGTAGCAATGCCTGTAGAGCAAGTGAAAAATTCCTTCTGCTGACATATTTGGGATGAAATAACTTAAATCATTTATATTAAAAGTGTACTTTGTAAGTATTTTCCCAGCATGCCTTCCATTAAAGTGATTTTTGCATCTGGATTAGACAGCAGGGTTTCTGGTTAGATTGAAAACGGTCCAGGAATATAGTGTTTAATAATTTTGGTATTTTCATTTGAATTTCTGAAATAAGGATATTCAAGATACCAAGATAAGTATTCAAGATACTTAGTGACAACACGTTGTGTCTGAGGTGAACCGGGACAGCTGGGAGGGTCATGTTTTCCCTTTGCCTGGAAGGACGCTAGAGGGCGCCACAGAGTCCTGCACAGAGTCACTCAGAAGGGCAGGGGTTACAGTGGGTCCAGGCAACTCAGCAGAACGAGATTCCAGAGTCCCCGGAAGGTATCAGTTCCCCATTTCAGATTCGCAGGAAGGATGATCTGGCTGGTTTAGCCTGGGTCCAGCGTCTCGCCCTGGGGCTGGTTAGCTCTGGCCGGCGCTGTAGCAGAGACCTCTCCGCATATGGGGCAGCTCCCAAGGAAGGGGTATTTGTCATAAGCATGGTGATCCTGGCTGCATGTATGTCTTTACCTGCTGTTTGACTCCGAAAGACTGTGCGTAAGTCAGGAAACAGTAACACAGACACCAAAAACTAGACTGATGTGAAATATTGATCTAAAGTTGCTTGTTATGTCAGTTTCTAGTTTTATAAAAAGATTTATAACTGTTACCTAGCACGTTGAGTACACTGGTTCTCTGTGTGCAAACCGCTCCCTCCCGCCGCACCTCCCGGTGCACTGGGGGGTGTGCTAACAAGTGTGACCCATGGGTGTGCTCCCATAGGTGACCTACCTCGCTGTGTCTGGAGTTGACAGGCAGCAGAACTAGTGCCTGGAGGGGAGCCCGTGGGCTGAGTCTGTTTCCCCAGCTGGACCCCTTTCCCTCTCCGCTCCAGCAGTATAGAGGGAGCTCTGGGAGCTGCTGAGGCCACACGTAGCTCCAGCATTCCTTCCTCTAAATAAAGCACTTTAGAAGGCAGGGAAGCAGGATGGAAGATGCCTAACCTGACAGCACTGCTTTTCGTATGTTCTTCTAAATGCAAATCGTGGGTCACCCTTGGTACCTGGGATAAACTTGAAATCCAGATCTCATCTGTGTGTGGGAGAGTGAGAATGGCTGTCTTTCAGCACTTCTTGGTCTGTGGCACAGGAGCTGGACCACCATCTTTTTGACCACGGACCGTGGTTTAATTGAGAACTCTGGCTTTTCAGATTCCGAGAAAATGGCGCAGTATCTGGAGGAGGAACGCCACATGAGGGAAGAGAATCTGAGGCTGCAGAGGAAGCTGCAGAGGGAGATGGAGAGAAGAGAGGCCCTCTGTCGGCAGCTCTCCGAGAGCGAGTCCAGCTTAGAGATGGATGATGAAAGGTGCGTGCATGTCTCACGAGCCTCGGGAAAACAACAGCAGCCCAGGCTCCAGCCCCTCTTCACCTCCTGTAAGATGAGGCAGCAGATGGCAGGGACGTTTATTTATTGTGATGATGAATACTGTGGCCTCAGTGTGGATGCTGAGAATGGGATAAATGAGGAAGTTAGACTGTCCTCCTTAAACACAAAAAGACACACAAAAAATGGCCTTTCCCAAATTACTCAGTGGGACAGACATGGAGGCGGGTTTTGTGTCCGGAGGCAGCGTTTGCAGGTGTCGTTGAATCGTCCCATCCTGGACCGTGGGCGCATATCTCAATCCCTAGGTACAGGTGAGCAGGTGGTGCGCGGTACAGCCTGAGGAAGCAAATACATCCAGGGGGCGAAAGAGTCCACGGCGGGGTGGGTGGAAGTTGTTGAAAGCCAGAGGCTTTGGTTTACCACACTTGGTAACTTTTCAACCTTTTTGCAGCTGCTTTTCAAAAATAGAACTCACGCAGTGCATTTGTCTGCTCAGGTCTCAATATCAAGTCCCCTCACTGTCCCTCTGGGAAATGGGCCGGCATAAGAGAGGCATCCTTGGGTTAACTAGAGGACACGGCTCAGTTCTCCTTGCTCACCCAGATTTTCCTTTCGTTCCCCACCTGCCCTCCTCCTCTGTGCTTGGGAGTGAGGTGATCGTTAAGATAAGCAACATCCACCTGGGCTGGGCAGCCAGTGCCTCAGACGAGGGTCTGCCAACGGCTGTGAGGACTAGTACAGGCTGTCGAGGCCAGAGCATGTTGTTTGAACGCATGTGGGCAGTGTTAGCAGATCAGCACTCTGTTTCTCTTATTGAATAGATCCAGAGGGCTAACAAGGCTTTTTTTTTTTTTTTTTTTTTATTCCAGCCTCTGGAGTCTTCCTCTCACTGCTGTGGCCTCTCCCATCGCGGAGCACAGGCTCCGGATGCGCAGGCTCAGCGGCCATGGCTCACGGGCCCCGCCGCTCCGCGGCCCGTGGGATCTTCCCGGACTGGGGCATGAACCTGTGTCCCCTGCATCGGCAGGCGGACTCTCAACCACTGTGCCACCAGGGAGGGGCTTTTGATTAATTTGCTGTGGACAGTATTTGCTGTGGTCTTATCGTTTCATGAAAAATGCAAATTTTTCTATAATGAAGATCTAGTCTTTTTTTTTTTTGGCTGCGCCGCACAGCTTGCAAGGTCTTAGTTCACCGATCAGGGATGGAACCCAGGCCCTCAGCAGTGAGAGCACAGAGTCCTAACCATTGGACCACCAGAGAATTCCTGATCTACTTTTATAATTTAAAAAACTTTATAAAAAACAGACTTAGATCTGTTTTTTAAAAAAATATCTTCCTCCTTTGAAAAGAATGAAGAGGATTCTTTCTCAGAAGTTTATATCATAAAACTGTCACCCTTAACTCTGAATTTCACTGATCTGCTTCTGACAGTGTCTCGTTCTTTCTGAAACTCTTATCCTCCTAAAACCATTTCATTGAAAACATAAGCTACAATAGTAGATAACTTATTAACTACTTTTTTAACTACCTTAAGACATGGAGCAGAGCATGTATTAACACACACACAACCCTGTGCTTGATTTTGATTACGACATACTCTGAGGGACAGTTTCTCTGACTGTGGTACTTCAGGCTTTCCAGATTTTTTTTTTTTTTTTCCAGAACTGGTATTCACTCCAGAAGGTTTGCCTTACCTTTCTAGGTCAGATTATCCCAGGTAGAGTACAGCTGTTGAATAAAGACATCTGCTCTCTCTACTGGGAATGATGATGTCAGATTTGGGAGGAAGAAAATAGTCAGACACTTGAGACATCTACAAGTGTGTTTCATTCCTTAAAGACCAAGAGGCGGTCTTAGCCACCCCACTGGCTGCAGAATACAAGAGGTCCAGTCTGGTGGCACTGTGGTGGGCCATGCTAAAGAGAGTAGGAAGAATTGGTGGTAGGTAGCTCGTTGAGAGGTGCATGCCAAACTTGGGAGTCTAGGGCTTCCCTGGTGGCGCAGTGGTTGAGAGTCCGCCTGCCGATGCAGGGGACGCGGGTTCGTGCCCTGCTCCGGGAAGATCCCACATGCCGCGGAGCAGCTGGGCCCGTGAGCCGTGGCCGCTGAGCCTGCGCGTCTGGAGCCTGTGCTCCGCAATGGGAGAGAGGCCACAACAGTGAGAGGCCCGCGTACAGCAAAGAAAGAAAGAAAAAAAAAAACCTTGGGAGTCTGGTTTTCTTCGAGTTGAATAAACTAGCATAGGAATACCTGTGTTAAAAGTTCCTCACGTGAACTGGTTGCATATCAGGGCTGAGATGTTTCCTGGGATAGAAACGCCTGCACATGTGGCCGTTCCTTCCTTTGGCCAGAAGGCCTGGGAAGGATCGCTTATTAGGGAGTCTCTCAAGCAGAGATTCCTCCTCATCAGCTCTCTGTGCTTGTTCACAAAGTGCGGCCTGATGTGACTTCCGAATCCAGTAATAAGTCAGACCCGGCACGGCATGACCTGCAGAGGTGCTCAGCCCATGTGTCATTTATTATATTCCACGTTCTGCATTTGAACACGTGACTGTTAAGCAAGGCCTGCCTTGTAGACAATTGACATCCATTTCACGGGATCACATTATCTCCAATTCGATGATATGCGTCTCAGAGGGCTTGTTTGGTTTTGCCTTTCAAGTAACAGTTTACAGGTAGCCACTAGAACGTGGATTTGTCTCATTCTTGGGACAGTGGTGGTGAATGTCTACATAGCTATAGTGTGATGGAGAAAAGCCTGGTCCTCTCTGTTGCATGACGCAGCTCTGTCACCAGGCCTCCATCCTGAGCGAAAACACCCCGGATTCCCTCACCTGTGCCCCTGGGGAGAGAGCTTTGCCAAGCAGTGGAACAGCATGGCTCTGGGGTCCATATTATACATGTCTCCTCACTGCAGCTTTGATTTCTAAACATTCAGGAGTTTGACCTCAAGATGTGAACCCCAAACATTTTCTCATAGGAGCTTTCTTAGGAACTACTGGAACACAGGCGGCTCTAACCATCTCCTGCACTCCTCTTAGGTACTTTAACGAGATGTCTGCACAAGGATTAAGACCTCGCACTGTGTCCAGCCCGATTCCTTACACACCTTCTCCCAGTTCTAGCCGGCCGATATCACCTGGTGAGTACGTGTTCTCAGCTACCTCTGTTTCTGCTGTATTTAACGTATCCCTGAATACATTCCCTTCTAGCATATGAAAATCTTGTAAACAGAGAGTGGTCACGTGTTGTCCAAAAACACCAGAAACGATCAGTGCTATCACAACTGAGTCTTAGCTTGCAATTTTAAAACAGCATCAGCTGGTGGTTTTCTGGAACCAAAAAGTAACTTAACTCTAAAAAACCTTTTTAAAAAAACCTTGGGCAGATTTCTGAGATGCACCATAGCATATCTGTTATGGGTTCTCTCATTATGGTCTACATACCTCATCTCCTTTTTATCCTCAGAATAATTAACGCAGGCGTCGTGTTAAAATTGAGGAAGCAGTCATTTGGTGGGTCTGTAGCTACTGGTCACATGGCCAGGAAGTGGCGGTGGCCAGGCAGGGCGTGTCTTGCTTCACACAAAGCCTGTGTTCTTTCGAGCACGAGCTGCCTCCTGCTATTTCCACTGATGGGTGAGTGGGCCTCGGCCCTAGTAGGCAGGCCGTGCAAGAAGGAACTGGCTTCGCTTCTGCCTCTGGCTTTGCCCCTCAGAAGCCTTTCTCTCAAAGGCGTGCTTGTGTTCATGTGACCCTGAAAAACTCTCTCCCCAGGGTCTCTGGCTCGGTACCCGCACAGCATGGGGCTTTCGGGCCAGGAGGGCAAGTAAATGATCCAGCAGGGAAGAAAGAGGAAGCAGGGGGCCGGGGAGGGGGTGGGCAAGTGGGGCGGAGGGAGGAAAGAAAAGGTAGTCGGCCAAGGGATTGTGTCTTGTGACTGAAGTGTCCAGGCTGATGTTCTTGTGCATGCTGGTAAACAGATTTTCAACAGAGTTGGGGAGAGAAAGTGTGTGGGGAGGGGGGAAGGGTGGTGGCAGAGCACTTTCACACAGAATACAGTGAGGTGACGGCTTAGAAGGGTGGCAGCAATAAAGGTTTTGTGGCTTCGGACAGTAAAACAGCTTCAGGTTAGGGTGACGTCTCATTTTGTCTGTTGTAATAATTAGACACCAGGGACACCCTTCAGGTCGACCAAGGGGAAATGCTGCAGCCTCGCAGGTGGCCGTGGATAGTGGCAGGCAGGAGGGGCTTGGTTTTGTGAGTTTAGGATCCAGCCCAAGCACTATGCTGCTGTGACTTTTTGTTTTTGTAAGAGGGGTGATTTTTAAAAAGTCCAACACGAAGTGTGGCAGCTTTTGTCCGCTCGGGGCCGGCACGCTCTCTGGCATGTGACAGGGGCAAGGGGGGCTGTGTGCGAACCAAAAGGACTTTCTGTTGTGGATCCACAGCACAGTCCTCAGCTGTTCTTGCCCAGAGGATGTTCCTGAATCTGTTTCTCCTGCTCTGCAGTGGCCTTGAGGTCTCTCCAGAAGCTTCTCTCCCTAGCCGCCTCTCAGTTTTCCCCAAATAGCACTTGGGTTTCGTTACCATGATAAAGGTTGTCTTTGCTTTCTGATTTATTGATGTAAAAGGAAGTCATGAGTTAGGAAGAAGCAAGAAGGAGGGAGGCTTTTATAGTTGATCGTGATGCTGATTCATGCTAATATAAATTCATGTTGTCTTTGATTTATTTAAACCTACAGGCATGTAACTTCCAGTTCATTAAATATAGTGCTGTGGTCACTGAAGAAAGAAAAAAACAAAAGTGAGGCCTCGGTTGGGAATATTAACTTCTATGGTAACAGATACCCTGCAGGAAGATTTTATTCCATGCACAGAATTTTGGCTTTCGCTGCCCCTGTTCCTGTAATGTGGGGCTTGCTTGTATGGACAAGCTAGTTGGTTTTCCCTTAAACTACATCGTAATAAGTAACACCTAGATTTTTTTTTTTTTTTTTCCTCTCAGCCAGCCTTAGTGAGAACATTTGTATCGTATTTTAAGTTCTATAATATCATCAAAGTAGATTATAATCTCCTATTTGGTGGTAGAATTACTCCTAATCCAGTCCATTGGATACATAATACATTAGCAAAATCTGAATTTTCAAGTTTTCACTTTATTTTTTTATTGGAAGAATTTGTGCTTCTCAGTATTAAGAATATCTAATCACGTCTTTAGTGGAATTGTGCTGTTGCTATAGTTTTTGTTTCCATTTGAAGCATTTTGGCTTTTCTTCTTCCCTTACCACTTCTGGTTAACATTGGCAGTCTTGCATTTTCACTGACTTGGATTCTTTTTTTTTTTTTTTTTTTTTTT